GGACTGTAAGCTGCTCTTGGTCCCAAGACTCCAACGTGTGGGTCCAGCCACCCCCATTTTCCCTCGCTCTGCACGTGGTGTGTCCGAGAGGGACTGAGAGTGACCACCAGTACTGATTTAGGGTCACAGATAAACTTTAGCGAGCAGGTGAATTTGCACATACAGAATCCATAGATAATTCAGATTCATTGTGCATAGGGAAATGATAAAGGTATAAAGAAAAGCAACAGAACTCAGGATGAAAGTGTAATGGGAAAGCGAGAGACACGGGCTCAGGCCACGTTCTCTTCAGGACCTAAGCGAGAGCTAATATTTGCTTCACAATTAATTTTTTAATATATTTTTCATATATTCTCTAGTGTGTGTGTTATACTTTACCGTTTAAAATAACACATAAAAGAAAAATAATAAAGGGCCCTAAATTTCAGAAAACCAATTTACTACCTAAGAACAAAAATGTCAACATTCTGGCCAACAAACACATGTGTTGCTGAGACTGGCCACTGGAGCCATGTGGTAAGTCTGAGCGATGTCCTGGATAGAAGAGAGAACACACCAGACTTACTTTAATGATCTTTGCTGCATGGATAAAATTAACGGCGTACAAGTTGTGTTCCTCCATCCCAGTACCAATAGTGAGTATGTTAGGGTCAAAAATGATGTCATTTGGATTAAAGCCCAGTTTCTTCAGGAGCAGGTTGTAGGCCCGGGTGCAGATTCTGACTTTGACGTCCGTTTCTGTCGCCTGGAGAAAGGAGCAAAAGATAATAATTTGAAATAGAGAAATAAAGTGTTATCCATGAAAACAGAAGCACATTTCACTTGTCGAAAGCACGTAAGCACCACTGCTTGGGGCTCATGAAGATCCAAAAGCCAAGCAGCCTCTAAACATTTATTGACTTGCCTCAGAGCAGGAGCTGCCTTAAAGTCCCTTTGTGTTTTTACAAGACTTCTATAAAAATCAAGTCTTACATGCAAATATATGGTATATTAGTAAATCAGCTTCTAAAAAATACACACGCGTGGTAAGGATTCAGACACCGCGAAAGAACAAATGCGAAAGGCCCCCTCTCCTGACCTGCCTGCAGCGCCTTCACGCACCCCCGCCCCCCGCACCACTGCCAGAGCTCCCCGGCTCCTCCTGCAGGACTGCGCCACGCAGCATGGAGGATGTGCGCATGTTCCCCACCTCCGGCCCCTCCCACCGCAGCGGCTGCTTCAGGTGCCTGAAGTCAGGCACTTAAGTCACACGAGCATCGCTCTTCTAATAGTGACTCTAGAAAGGAGAGCACTGACTCCAGCAAGGCTCCGCATCACCCCTGGAATCAGGGCCCGCACCTCCCGTTTCATTGCCTATCACTGTCCCCTCATGCGCTCCACTGTCCCACCCTGCTCCTTTCACGCTGCTGGATTAATGACAGAGAAAGAAAGAAACGGAGAAAAACAGACAGGGAGGGATGCCAAGTACCCCCCCAATCAGTACTGGTGGTCACTCTCAGTCCCTCTCGGACACACCATGTGCAGAGCGATGGAAAATTGGGGTGGCTGGACCCACACGTTGGAGTCTTGGGACCAAGAGCAGCTTACAGTCCTCACGTCCCCACCTCTGAGGGGAATCTGGAGAAGACTGTTTCCTACACACAAAGAATATAAATATGATCCATCTGATAAGGAAAGGTCCAAGCGCAGGGACACACGGCCACTAAATCGTAGCCAGGGAGCGGTGACCTCTCTGGAGCCATGACAAAGGAGGCCCCTGAAACACAGAAACATGTCAGATTTCTAAAAAAGCTCAGAGAGGGTCAGGGGAGGAAACCAGAGAATCGAGTCCTCAGCTTGCGTCAATTACCTTCCACAGGATAAAAATAAAGGGAAAACTTAGAACTACTGACTTCAGTTTCCTAGGACTATTTATAATACTGTGGTGAGTATCCTACTGAAAAATACAACATGTTTAGGTGAAAAACACTATCAAGTTATCTAAATTCAATGAAAAGGCTGCTTATGAGATAAAAATCTTAAAAATCACCACTGAAGAAAAATATATTCCAGAGGAAAAATACATCAAAACAACGCAAAATACCTAGTAATGGTCTGAAGAGTTTCTACTTAAGGAAAACTGTAAAACTTGATGGATTAGTAATCGGAAAGGCATACCAGGCTCCCAAATGACGAATCTGAATAGTGCCAAGATGCCAATTCTTCATTATTTTCTAGCTTACGATTAATTAAATTTTAATCAATATCCCAATGGGGCCCTATTACTTCATAAATTGGAAAATTACTCTCATATAATTTTAGCATAGGTAAGTGTATTGAATGTAATGGATGCATTCATAGGATAATACTGATTATTCTTTTATGTAATTTACACACGTACAAACACAAAATAATATAGTCTCTTCTCCGATTATGTGATAATTATATTTCTAGGAAACCTTATTAAAAATTGTCATACAAAATAATCGTTTCAATTAGTAAAGAAGAACTAACCCTAGAGAGTAGCGATGTCATTCTTCCCACGGAAATTTCAATAATAGAGGTGTTCTGTATCTTGTTAAAGATGAGTTGATCAAACTACTAACCACAAACAAAAACACAGAAATAATTCCTATCTGACGCCCTAAGGCCAGCCCCTGTCATTGCTGGCCTTGACCGTGCACTTTTGTTGTAACACGGATCAGGAACATAAACCGAAGACGGCAGCAGGTGCTGAAGCAGGGCGGGCGGGCCGGCCTTCCTTCGCTGTTTAGTCCCAATGGTGACTTTCATTGCAGAGAGGTGCTTTCTCCTTGTCACCTGTGGTGTCATCCAAGCAAAGCAAATCTTGATTCTTAACTGGTTCGTGCTCCCCACAGCCCCGGGAGAACTCAGCTCACAGAAGACATGCCTTTATACCGAAATATCCGTATTGTTGGTTTCTGTACTTTGCAAGTGTATGAACTTTTCGCTTTGCTCTTTGTAAGTTTCGATACACGATCGTACAATGAGCATGTCTATGATCATGTAGAAAAAATACTTGTAATTAGTAAAAGCAGTTTTTAAAAAGGTATCTTTAATTCCACTGCCTTACACCGACATTTATTTTCCTTGACAGCATTTTCTTCCACTTTTCGCAAATGTAGTTTTTACGCAGTCAAGTACGCAGTGTCTATATGATTTTTGGTTTTATGTTTTTTATTTGTATTTGTAAGCACTGTCATGCTGCTCCAAAACTTCATAATTAATATTTAAATAACCTGGGTAATATTCCAACAGACCGATGTAACCTAAGTAATCGATTTCTCTTCAGACAAGCATTAAGGTTATCTTCAAGAAAGCTGGTGGAAAATCTTTGTATAAATAGTATTCTTATGCTGCTGAGTCCTTTTACTGAGATAATTTCCCAGAAATGAGATCATTAGCTCAAAGAGTATGAACATTTTTATCTCCTGACAGGTATTACGGTGTCTTTCAAAAGTGCTGTCCCAGTTCATGCTACACTCGCCAATGAATGAGGCTTTCTGTTGACGACCCCCCCACCTCCACCCCAACCCTGCCAGCCTGGATCATTTTAAGTTTACTTTTCCCAAGTTAGGAAGGGAAACATTACCTTAACATTGCTCTAATTTGCATTTCTTTCATAACCAGCAAGTTGAAATTTTTTCCCTGCATTTTTATTTGTGGCCACATTCAACTCTAAATGGGTAAAGCTTGTTCTCAGACAAAATCGAGCACCAGCAGCGCTAACAGACGAAGCCTGGGGATGATCCAGCATGTGGAAACTGGCGCCAGTCTTCAAGCCAGGCTCCATCTCATCCTAGGCATTTGACCTTGGCTCACAGTAAAATAAGGCAACAGCTACCCCAAGTGGCTGCCACAAGGACTAAATGAGATAAACTGCTGGTGGTTTTCAACTACATTTATACATGAGAATCACCTCTAAGCCTTTAAAATCACAGAAGCCAGGTCTCGCCCCAGACCAAAGGGGTCAGAAACTCAAGGACTGATGCCCAGGGGTGCGCGTGTTTTTTAAAGCACAGGCAGTGTCCACCCTCCTCTGTGGGAAAGCTTCTGCTTTACGCTCAGGTGACACACGGCAGAGCCACAAGGCACACAACAGTCCACTCTATCCAGAGCTCACCTCACTCCCGACTCCACTGAAAACCACGCAGTCAGCCTCCCAGCAGCCCCCTGCCCAGTGCCTGCAATCGGCACTCTGACATCCTGCCTTCTCTCCCCGGTGGTCAGCCAACTGACCCCCCGCCCACTCGCACACCAACTGCCAGCCCCCAAGTCCCAAAGGCACGGACCTGGCAAATGCCCCCTTTCTCCCAATGCACCAACTCCCCGCTCTTTACCAGATCATTCCCATCAGCTTACAAAACGACACTGTCACCTCATCTACACACACGCGCGCGCACACACACACGCACACACACACACACACACCTCTCTCAACCTCATATCCATCTCTGGTTTCCACCCTATTTCTCTGTTCCCCTTTACAGCAAAACTCAAAAAATTCGTTTATACCTGCTGCCTCCAATTTTCCTATCCTCTCCTGAACCCACTCCAACGTCACTTTCGTCTCCTTGGAAACGGTACCACAAGGCCACACACCGGGCCATCGCTAGTCCAGTGGAAAGTCTTGGTCTCATCCACTTGCTCCGCCCGCAGCTGTTTAAAACAGCTCGTTGAGCCCAGAAGCCTGTTCTTGAGCTTACACGCCAAGCGACCGTCCCTTCCGGTCCCTGTCCTACCCAGGCTCCTCCCCACCCCTCTCACAGGGTCTCCTCGAGTCCCCAACCACGGGGCACTGAGCTCCCAGGCCCCTCGGTCCTAGGGCCTCTTCGCTGCGGCCACCCCTTTGCTGAGCTCAGTCACCCCAACTGCGTGCCGATCACGCCCAAGTAAGGAAACACCATCTTCAAGGCAAGCTTTGCCCGTGAAACCCTGGCTCATCTGCGCGACCGCACAGCCCGCACGCCACGGTGAACACGGTCTGGCCAAACCCAAACTCCTCCTCACCGCCCAGTCGGCCTCTCCCCGTCTTCCGTCCTCTCAAAGCCCTGGAGCTGTCCCTGAGTCCGCTTTCCCTCACGACCCATGACCAACAGTGAAGGCGAATCCCACTGGCTCTATCTACCTTAAAAATACATCTAGAAACACATGAGCAGAGCAAATGCCAGAACTGGAAAATAGGAGGGAAAAGGTAAAAAATGTACACAAAACATCCATTATCTGTATATTACCCATGAAAAGAGGTTGAAACGATTCAAGGAAACGTCCCATGACTGCGGCCATAGGTCTCCCAGCTGAGCGCTCAACTTAACGGAAGCCTTATCATCCTGAGATTTCTGAGCGCCGTGAACACAGACAATCCAAGGAGCATCCAGAAAACGGGCAAAAAACGAGGTTTCCCGAAAAGAACCGAGGGTTAGCACAGCACTGCCTCCCTACCGTTACCAGTGGAAACCAGACCAACACTTTCAACACAGAGAACATAATTGCAAGCTTGTAGGCCTACACCCATACAATCGTCAATGAAGTATAAAAGAAAGCCATTTTCAGACATAGAAGATTTCCAAAATATTTACTGCCATGTTTTCTTTCACAAGCAGCTGCAGTGGATGCGCTCCACCAAACGAGAGACTGAACCAAGAATGGGCAAATTACCGGATCTGGAAACCTCAGAGAGAGGCGGGAGGAATGAACCCCCAGGATGAAGGTGAGGGACAGTTCACAGTGACAGCTGTGCAGCCAGCATACAGAGCAACCTTTCCAGATCGTGTCGGAAGACCTGGAGAGCGAGCCTTCAAGGAGTTAAAACAAGCACAGCACAGGGAGTGCAGCCGGCATTAACATACTGGCCAGGTGCAAAACCAGAGGGGAGAAGGAGCCATTGGGGGATCGTATTATAAACTATATAAATGTCTAACCAACGTACTGTATACTTGAAGCTAATTAAATAAATAAATTAAAAAAAAATTAAAACAACAGTCTACTGAACCTGTTTGGTTACATTAGATATTGGAAATTAACGTAACTGGAAGATACTTTAAAGAAAAAAAGTATATAAGAAACAAAGCAAACGAAAAACTGTTGACTTCATAGGAAACAAGCGAGGTGCAGGGAAGGGAGAGAAACCACTGTGCGCGACCACGCGTGTCTCAGCTTTTACACCGCGGAAGCACATGGCACCAAAATCGTTTGAACTACGTGAAAGACGGGAAATAAAAGTGAAGGAGTGTGGGGCAGAGGCTGGTGAAAAAGCCAGATAAACAGTGACTCCAACCGGAACCCGAAGATACGAGGAAAAGGCTGCAGAAATCACCCAGCAAAGCTGAACGTGGCTGCGTCCGGGAATCTGAAGGGCCGGGGGCTTCTGTTTCTCCTAAAAAGCTTTACAGAACTTTGTCTATTTAACTATCTGCATGCGTATCTTTGGTAAAAATACAAACTATGTCAAAAGGTCTCAGCTGACTGAACCAGGAGTGGAAGATGGCTAGACACTTCCTTTCAGGACCACTTAACAGCACGTGTCAAGTGTGAATTGCACTCCGTGACCCCGCAATCCCACATCTATGAACCGACTGAGAAAATCACTGTGCGAGGAGAAAACGGCTGCATGAATTAGGAGATTCACTGGCCATCGTTCATTCTACGGAAAAATTAGAACAACTGTAATTTCATTCAACAATAGGCAAAGTAAAACCTAGACAAGCTGGAACATAAGGTGATCATAAAAGATGGAGTTATACTCCATGGAGTAAACTTGTATCTACTAAGATGGGAAGGTG